TTTTTTTTTTTTTTTTTTTTTTTTTTTTTTTTCAACATTTATTTTGACTTATTGTTTATATGATATCTGAAAATTTAATAGTTATTGGTTTGATAAGTATAATTTTTTGATAGTTAGTAGGCAAAGTTGCCAAAAGAAACTGTGAATAGTAGGGGGAAAGGGGGGAGGTGAGAGGGAGTGGAAATTTGTAAAGAGAAATTCTAAGCTTAGTATCAGAATAAAAAATCAGTATTTTTATCTTTCACACTATCATTATTTCTACATATCGCTTTAATATTTTTTTGATGCTTGGATACAAAGTGCATTTTATATATTGTCAAGTGTAAATTGTTGTATTTGTTGCTATTTCGAGGTGTTATGCTGCTGTAAGCCAGTCGGGTTACAGTTTACACCAGAATCAGATTGATGATTTGCTTAGAGAAATCTCTGACGCAAATTGGTATTTAAATTTGGTCAATGGTATAAAGATTCGTGTCAGTTATTTTTAATAGAGTAATTTGGTTGGTTTATTTCTTCCAGTTTTCTTTATAATGGGATAAGTTTCATTATATGTAACTGCAATAATATGGCAATTTTTGCACGAAATTTTAAAAAGGTATTTGATGGTTATTTGTGAAGAAAGGAAGGAGAAAAAATTTAATTGAATTTTTTAAACGTTTTTTCATCACTTGAAGTATGTTTAACCTTTTCTGCTAAGTTAGTTAAAGCTGTTACTGTGTCTTGATAATTTGTCGCCTAGCAATAAGCTTTCAGACATTTTGCTGGCAACCAGTAAAGTAAAGTTTGTTGACTTCTCTAAGTCAATTAATTTATGTTTGGTTAATAAGTTGATGAATGTCACTGTTGTAAATACTTTCAGGTGGTATTTAACGACCAGTAAAATTTTTGTAGGTATCTAAATGTGCAGTAAAATAATGAGTCGATAGGCTCCATACAGTCAGCTGCCCTTATTGTATTAGTCGTGAAAACTTTCAGATTTGTGTTACACTGTTGTAGTTTGGTGGACATTAGTTTTTTTTTTTTTTTTGTAGAAATTAGCAAATATTTATGGGAAAGAAATGTTGTCATTGGTATAGTGCAATAAATAATTTCAAGTTTCGTGATTTTTTGTGCTCAACATTGATATTAAGGCTAAAGACTAAATTCATAGTGATAATGTTGCTGATGTATAAAAGATTTGATTTAGAACTAAGATTTCCTTTTCTTGTTTTCGTTTCATTTTTTTTTCTTTCCTTTAAACAAAGTTCAACATCTTAACAATGTAATCTAAAGACTTTTTCAATTGTTATATTTAAATGTTTTTGCCAAACGGAAAAAAAAAAGACGATTTTTTAGTTAACATTCAAAACGTTAACCCCGGGAATATCAAGAATCATTGACGCTGAAGACAGACAGACTCCAAATCGTTTTTTTTTTCTTTGCTGTTCTTGTTGTACAAAGAAATTTGATATATTTAAATCTCAGTTTTTATTTCTGTTTAACAATAACAGTGCTTTTTTCATTTTGTTTTGCTTTGTTTTCTGAAGATTATATATTCCACGCAGGAACTATAAGCATAATAATTCTTATGGCATAAATATATCATACACACCAATATCTCAACATTGCACTAATCACGTGAAAGCATTTCATTGAAGCATAAAAAGAAAAAAAAAATTGTATTTACAAATTCTGTTAGCGATTGGAAAAGTTATCGTTGACTCACGTAATAACTTAAAAATTGATATTATTTAAGTCTTCTTAAAATTAGTCAATCATTAAAAAAGAAGATCATTCTGAATATATTGTTCATCAGAATTCATTGTTGTTGTTGTTGTTATTATTATTTTTTTTTTTTCTTGACTTTTTGTACGCATATTCATTCATTTGTTGAGTGTAACTTCAAAGTGAATATTATTTGGACAACTGAAATTGTTGTACTAATTTTTTCAAATGCTTTTTTTCGGATAATTAATTCAGTATTTTGGGAAGTACATAAAATGGAAAAGAATGACTTTTTTTTTTGACATCAATCGGAGGACCCATTGGAACGTATTAAATTTTTTTAATAGCTTTCTTGACATAAGTAGTCTTGCGACTTTACCGATTCGTTAGTTTTTTTTTATTTTTTGTTTGGTACTTTTGTCCTCCATTATTTTTGAGATGTCACTTGTTATGCTGGTTTTTTTTTTCTGAATAATGTGAACCAAAGTTATAGTTTTGTTTACATAGGTGACGGATGCATGCCATCACTGGTAGCGTTTGGGCGGCGTTGGAGGATCGCTAGTGACGATTTCTTCTTTCCAGCTTTATCAGAAGTTGCTGTTCGCATCACTTGGTAAGTGTTTTATGAGTTTTTAACGTCATTTTTTTGATTATCATTGATTAACAATGGGTGACATCAAAAGTTTATTATTCCTTCAATTTTGCACCATATTAAGCTTAAAGTGTAATAACAAAATGAGTTATATATGATGTGCAGCATTTGCTAAATCCTATAAAGATAGGCAACAAAAAAATTTTAATATAGTTTTCCTCAAACTTTCGAATATTTATTGACTTTTGCTAACTTTAGGAGCTTAGTGTATGCCCTGTTTTTTTGTACCTTTTCGCGATGCCATGAAATTAATGAACCCCTTGTCGGATAATTAGCACTTGCTAAAAATGATAGGGGTTTTAAATAAAAAGTATCTTATGCTAATAATTACTGTAATTTTCAGGTTAACAGCGGCATGTATTCTGTTTATGCTAAACAATCCGGTGCACTGCCCTTCAGTGGATTTCATAACTTATTTGGTTTTATTATTAGTTCTTAATTTTGCTGGAATTATTTTTGCCATTCTTTTGGCTTGGTTTAGCTCCAGAGGGTCAATATTACAACCATCGGCTCGTCGTCATGTGACTACTTTGTTGTATATTCGTTTGCCCTTATTTATTATGGAATTCATCTGTACTATATTTTCAACGATACTGGCTTTTCGTGAGCCAATTAATACTCTATAGATAAAGATCGAATTTTCTCAGAGTTTTTGCTAGCTACTTTCTCCTTCTTTGTACATTAAAGAAATTTTTTATTAGTTGAAATTTTTTCGGTTACCTTGCTATCATATCTTGTTTGTTAAAATAAAATCTGCTTTATTTTTCAGAGAATGATGATGTCTGCCATTTTAAATTCGGAATTCGCCTTACAGTCTTCCTTCAGTGGGCCTTGTATTTTATCCTTTTTATCGGCCTAATTATTGTTTTTAATCCATCTAATGACACTTACACGGACCAAGTCGAAAGGAACGAAAAGCGACTATGGACTCGAAGA